ACAAAACTTATATTAAACTTCAGTTTGTATTTTGTTTTGTGTTTTACAAATTCCCGTTAGGTTGTGTTTTGATTTTGTTCTGAAAAGTCCCTCCTTAAGTAACAAAGATTCTCTTCAGATTTGACCAAAATACAAAACAGATGGTCGAAATTAAAGTTCGTTTTCATAAGATGACCGAATATTAGGGACATCTACGGGACGGAAAATGACATTTATTAAAGATAGAATTAGGCAAATGCCCAAAATGAAAATCAATATTAGTGGTTTGTCCATGATGAGATATTAATGGTTCAAACCATATAATTACACATGAAACTGCCCAAAATGCCATTCTTTATCTGAAAAGTGTCTGCTGGTAATAGAGAAATGTCAGAAGAGAGGAGAGAGGAGAGAAACATGTTATTTACATGTGTTGATAGATTTTCTTAAATGCTAAAAATATTATCAAATAATAATATTTTTGAATGTATAATATAGACATTATAATAGATAAAATAATTAAACATTTGATATAATTAAAAAACATAAATTACAATTAATTGCAAAATTTCAACATAAATTTATAATTTGTTATAAATTCGATATTACATGTATTTGTTAACAGCTAACACATCTGTTAACAGATATATAATTTATTAACAATTAATGTCTCTGTTAATAATCACTAGTATCGATTGTTAACAAAGTTGTTAACGGTTAACAAATAATGTAGATGTTAACAGCGGTTTTAGCTGTTAACAAATACATATTCCAGATGTTAACAGAGATGTTAGTTGTTAACAACTATACGTATGAGAGGTGTTAACAGAAGTGTTAGATATTTATAAAAATTATGTATCTTAATAGAGGCGTTATGTATTAATTGTTAACAAATAAATATCACTGAATTTTGTATTTCCTAATCACTTTGAGTAAATTTAAAATTTAAAATTATTATTTAAGAATCAAAGTGAATTCAAGATAATTGAAAGAGGAGATGAATGAGAGAACGAGAGAGAGAGAGAGAGAGAGAGAGAGAGAGTTAAAAAAGAAAGAGAGAAATTAGCCTCACATGCCTAGGAATGTAAGAGGAAAGAGACAGAAGTGCATTTTGGTCAATAAAATAGAATAAGTCAAATCATGGACATTTGGCTAATTAGGAAGTGATCTAGGGTGCGGCAGCAAATAATCTCTTTATTAAACAACATATTCTTTTCCTTTTTATTAACCTAGGGTATCTCCTAAATCTATAGAGAGTCCTAGACTAATCCCCAAATAACATATTCTTTCCACGCATATTTTTTATATTAGAAGTTATGGTAAAATTAAATGTTTGCTAACTTTCGTCGTTCCATTCCATTAATTTACCGCAGTTGAATCTTTAAATGAAAATAAAAGTAGATAAAATGCAACAAAGATATCGTAGTAGAAAACATTACAGTATGTAGTTGGAGTAAACTCTTCAACATAGTAAACCCAAACTATTATTGGCTTTTCTAGTAATCGATAGTGAGTTGGCTTTTCTTTCATTCTATTAAAATTGTAGACTAAACCAGCTAAAGTGTAAAATAAACATCTTTTTGTTCCATCTTAAATTTGTAAATGATATATGACAGATTTGCATAGGTTTCATGCATTCTCAGTAGAACATCTTTTATAAAATAAAAAAAAAGAAGCAATTATTACTTCCAACGAAATTATAACAATCGAATAATAATAGCAAACTAATGTAATGAATTTGAAGGATCAACCAAGATGTTAATCTTTCCATTGTGTATAATATAGTATTTGAACATCTGCATTCACTATAAGAAAGCGCGAATTTCGATAATTTTTTACTTCAAAATTTCGTCGTAAAAAACCTATTCAGACGAAATTAAAAAGAAGAAAATCGTCAAAAATAAATCGTTAGAAATTTTTTTTTCGGATTTTGTAAAAGATTCCGAGAGAATTGATGACTTCTGATGGACACACAACTCTAAAAAAATTCCGACGAAGAATTTCTTAGGACATAGTCGTTCGTATTTAATCAGATTATTCCTACAAATACTTCATTGGAAGTCTACCGACGGAGCTCGTTAATTGGAAAATACCGAAGAAAGACGTCTTTGGAATATCCCAAGGAAGCTTAACCGTCGGAATATTCAGAGGAGAGGAAAAACAGCCATCTGAATATTCCGAAAAAGAAATTCCATGGAAACTTCCAAGGATCACGTGCCCTCGGAATATCCCGACGGCTATGCTTCCTCGGAATATTCTAATTTTTTTATTTAAAAAAAAATTATATAATAATAATTTTGTATTTTTGAATTTAATTTTAAAATATAAAACTAAATATAAAATAGAAAATATATTATAATATTTAAACTCTTACAAATTAAACATTCAGAGTTTTTTTTTTTTTTTTTAAAACACAAACTAGAAGTCATGCGGAAACATCCGTCGCATCATGTCCAGCAGCTCATAGTTCTTTTTCTTCCTTTCCTCCACTTCTTCTTGCTGATCGGCCATCTTAGCCAGAATGGTGGCGTTCTGGATAAGAATGGTGGCGTTCTGGGTCTCCAATGTTACTATGTGGTCATCCTTGTTCTGTAGCTGTTCCATAAGGACTGGATCAACAAAAGCAGGTTCTGAAATAGAAGGAATTGATTTGGAGCGACGAGCCAACCGGAGCAAACGACTTTTCTTCTTTGGAACCGCCAGAAAAAAAAGTGAAAACATAAAAACTAAAATAGTGAAAATACGATAAAATAAAAAAAAATAGTAAAAATTAAACTGTAAATTAAAATGAAGATCTTACCGACTCAAGGAGTTCGTTGCTTCGAACTCGAGACAGGTTGGTGGAAGCAGCAATAGTGGCGTCGTCGTCAGAGACAAGCTGAGATATGTGTTGGATCTCTTCATCCTTCTGGGTTTCGACCAAGTTGATCACATCCTTCACAACGCCATCCAAAATCTCTCCGGTCGTCTTGTTGGTATATGTCTCCTTCATTAGCACGATTTCATCAACCGGCTCACCATCATTTTCTTCCGCCTAAAAAAAGCATTTGTTAATAAAACGCATAAAAATTGAAATAAATAAGTAAAAAAACTGAACTTACTAATCGATCCCCGAGAGTGGGCATACTGCAAGCACCCAAGTTGTGCTTATAGACGCCCTTCCCGCCACGAATACTCTTGCGGTTGCCGGAGTTGGTCACTGAAGTCTCTTGCGTCTCCACCTTCTCTCAATGTTGTTGCAATCGAGCCACACCGTCTCGTTAATCTATTTTGGTGTCTTTCTCTTGAGACACTTTTTATTCCACTCATAGATCTGCTTCCCAAAATTGTCCAGGTCTTTATGGTTGAATTCATTACGGATATAGGTCATCTGCTGGGGCTTCCAGTTGAATTCTTGCCAAATGGACTGAAACCATCGGTACGTAATCCAAGATAGACATTTCTTCTCTCATTCTCCAATTCTGGATATATTGATTGGAAATGCTTTCAAGCTTTTGCATCTGAAGGATGTCTAATCTCACTATCTGTTGAATGCTCCGCATGCCATCTCATTGGTTGGACTGTGCGTTTAGACTGATACAACCTCTTCAACCTTTCCATCAAAGGCAAATACCACATTATTTTATATGGCGCTGGAACTCTTCCACTTGTATCTCTATAACGAGCCCTCCAATATATCATGCAGTTATTGATACATACATCTATTACCTAAAACGGTAAACCAAGACCAGTTACAAGTTTCTAAACCTCATAGTATAAACCAGGGGATAGATTATCCTCAAGTAGAATATCTCTTACATAATCAGCAACCGCATCTACACATTTTTCAGCCAAATTATAATTTGTTTTAATGCCTATCAGTCTTGTTGCTGATGATAAAGGTGAATAACCATCTCTACAACCTTGGTACAAAGGTTATTTTCCTGCGCATCCAACATATCAAAAAATCTTCTAGCTTCTGCATTGGGTAAATCTTTCCCTCTAAAATGATCATTTACCATCTGCTCAGTACCTACACCACAATCTACATCTGTTCTAATTGGTTCTTCTAACCTATTCGCAGTCTGAGGTTCGCAAGTAGTACCATATTCATAATCAGCTTCCCCATGATGATATCAAATTTTGTAACTTCGTGTAAACCCGTTCAAATATAAATGAGTCCAAACATCCCACTCTTTTATAATCTTTTTATTTTTACAAGTAGAGCAAGAACATCTTAACATATCCGTTTTTGCTTCCGGTTGTCGTTGAACTAACCCCTTGAATTCGGTTATACCTTTTTGGTATTCTTCCGTAAGCAATATCGTATTAGGATTCAAATGAAGACGATCAGTCCACGAACGATAATAATTTGAAGAAGACATTTTTTTCATCATATTTGTGTGTAAATAGTAAGTGAGAAGATGAGAATATTGAGTGAATAAAGAGGATAAGGGGTGCTTGTATTTATCCATGAAATGTTGTTGACAATTCCGATGGAAACATGATATTCATCGAAATTTTTGCGAAATTTTTAAAATTTCTCAACGCCTCTATAACGGTTATAAATTACCCTTAAATTTCCGTCGGTGTATTCTGACGAATATAATAACATCGGATTATACCGACGAAATGTGACTTCCTCGAAATAGTGTTGAAAGTTTCCAACGAATTTCTGAAGAAACTTAAAAAAAAAAATTCTTTAGAATTTTATCGGAATGACATCAATATATTTTGAGGAAATACCTTTTCGGTTGGAATATATCATATTTTTTTGTATTGATTGTTTATTTTACTCGATGTGGCTATAAGATCACCCAAGATAATAGTATCCTTTTTTTGTTGCTAACTTGTGAATATCATTAAGATGTTAACGAAAAAGGACGAACCAATGAATTTGAAAAACTTTGGGTTATAAGCTCATTAATAACCGCAGGGGAAATTTGTATGAAATAAAGATATATAAGCCTTATATTTCCTTTTTTTCTGAAACAATAGAAGCCACATTTAACAATTTATGATTTATTGTATCACGTTCTTTTGTACTTTCTCCTCGCAACTGCTATATATAAACTCCACCATTTCACTCAGTGGAACCTTATAGCAAAATCTCTAACATCTAACTCCTGAGTTAATAGTAATTTAAATTATTATAAGTAACCAAACTTAATTAATCAGTGATTAACTAAGAGATTAGAGGCTGAGGCTGAGTTGCATGGCAAGAGGTCGTAATCCAACGACGATGAACCGGAGTGATCGATACCTTGGAAGCTACAGTTACGGTGACAGTCATGGTGCTTCCGTCACTGACGAACTAGAGCTCGCCGAGGAAGACATCTGGTCACCGGCCGTCATTCACAGCACCGAGACGGAAGAATCATACAGCGGGTGGAACTCACGTGCTGACTCGGTGAAAAGCGGGCGCGTGGGAGGACTGTCGCTTACTTTCAAGAGCTCTTTAAACGCGCCGTCGTCATCTCCGATGCTCGTGCAGCAGTTACGCGGCGGAGTAAATGAAGGAGTAACCAGGCAGAGTTTGGCGTCTTCGGCGCCGGTGAACGTGCCGGACTGGAGCAAGATATACCGAGTCAACTTGGTAGAGTCAAGACAAGAGATGGACGAGGATGAGGAGGATCCGGGGATGATGCCGCCGCACGAGTACCTTGTTAAGAGCCATGCACGGCGGAGCAGGAAAATGGGCGGCGGTGGGACGTCGATGTTTGAGGGTGTCGGAAGGACTCTCAAAGGCAGGGAACTAAGGCGTGTTCGTGATGCGATTTGGAGCCAAACAGGGTTCTACGGCTAAGAACTTAACAAATAAAAGCATTTTTAGATTTCGATTTTGTTTTGGCAAGAATTTTGTAATTTTCGAAGTTTTGTTGCCTTTAACAAGGTTAAAAATTCAAGTTTCTCTTCTGAGTTGCCTAAAATTCAAAAATAATTTTATCTTATGTTAATTAGTTTAACTAGCTCTGAGTTATAAGTTTTTTACTGAATAAATTTGACATTCATTCAAAACAAAAAACAATTTAATGCGTTTTTCTGCTTATAATTTTGGTTTAAATAGTGTAAGTAACTCTTGTTTTTTTGTTCACATATATTTTAAATAATTTAAGATGATATTTAAAAGAGAGACAATTTGAAAAATAATCTCATTTCTGTATCTTATTTACATTTACATGCATGCTATTATTGCTGATGCTGGGTAATCCATTCCTAATCTTTAAAGGTTGGTGACCACACACATACATAATCTACTCTATTAAAATAGAGTCACTATTTTTATCTACTACAAAGAAGTCATATAGGACCATTTCATTAATTACTTAGTATGGCATATTAAATTATTTATATATGATGAAAATAAAAGATTTACATTTTATTTTTAGTTATAACAGAATCGGTTGAGAGAAAATCTAACAAAATCTTACTAAAAATTTAAATATTTTATTATTAAATAACATAATAATGCATTTGTAATTAATAATATCATACTATTATAAATTAATATTAATTAAAATTTCACTATAATAACAAAAAAAGAATCCTGTACTATTTTATAAATTTCAAAGTAAAAAATTAAAGAATATTCTATATTGATAATGTTGAATAAAAACCTACACCAATTAGATTTAAATTTAGACAATATATAACATAAAAATATAAATTATATATTTAAAATATTTACATCAATATTAAATAAATTTTTAAAAATGAAAAATATACCCGCACGAACGTGCGGGTAAAAACTCTAGTAATAGTTATTTTCGAATTTATAAGAACTAGAAGTAAAAAAGAAAATTAGTTCTTCACTAAACGTAATAATGCATACTTATGAAAGAGGCCAAACGATTTTGGTTTACTTTCGTTTCGGTGTATATCTATAAAAGAAGTTGATCTTGATCTCTAACTCGATTCTTGTTTGAGAAATTCCTCACAAAATCTCTCTACACAGACAGAAAAAAGTACACTTTGACAAAAAAAATCCTCAATGTTAAATCTCCTTTTACCATAAAGGATAGAGTAATGGGTAGTGATCAAAGAGAGTGACGTAAGTTTGGAGAGTGTCGCGTCAAAGCATATACTGGAGGCAAATTTGTCAAAAAATGATTTGGGTCTCTTGGTTCCTTTGTGCCTTTGCTTTTTCCAAGAAAAGTCCCTTTGAAAATGAACTTTGGATGTTGTTTTCATGTGTCTTGTGGTCTCTTTACATCTTTCATACGCTTATCCCAAGCTCTGTTCACCGTTTCTTAAAATATTTTTAATAAAAGAAAATTTAAATTTATTTTTGCCGACATGTTCCTATTGAACATATAATGAAAAGAAGAAAAAACTGATCAGTAATCAATTAGATACCCAGTCTGAGACTACTGAAAGTTTGAAATGCTTTAGTGGTAACTCTCACAGAAATAATGGATAAGAATTAGGTTTATTAGAATTCGCGACTATTACATTACATGCATAGATTATTAAATGTTATTGTGGGGTTTTTATTCAGATATTTTAGTGTTTGATATGATTCTTCATCAATAGAAATATACAAAACTCATTGACTTGATGCTTTACAGGTATGGATTCTCCAACTACTAATTAGTTTACTTGCCAATTTTGAATGGCTTGAACAACCAGAGCATATCCATTTATTTATCTGCTTAATTTGATTCCTGTAGGAAAAAGATATTCTAAAAATACATATACAAATTCAAACTATACTTCCGAATTAAAAAATATGAAATATTATTCTCTTGATTATCTTTAAAACTACCCAATGGTGTTCAATTATCATATATTGTCACCTAAAGTTTCAACAAAGTTTATGCGATATTGCGATACATTCAAAGTCATTTATAGGAATTTTAACTATTTATATAATTTCAACTTTTTAATTAGTTTAGATTTTGTAAAATCAGTGTTAAATACATTATATATCGTGCGGGGTTGGTTGTCATGAGAAGACAAATAAGATTTCGAAGAAAATGGTGTGAAGATAATAAGTACACGATTGTTTTTTGTTTTTTTGTTAATTTGTTTTCATTTGAATATGATTTGTTGAAGAAGCTAACGTTCGCATTATTAGTTTCTAAGTTAAAGTCTTAAGTTTTTTTCATTTATTTAATATTATTATAATCTATGAAATATCAATTTTGGAAATCTTTGATAATGATTGCATCCAGGGCCGAGCCGGACCTGAGCTGATGCATAAGAGCACCTCCAATGGTGTTACTCACCATTGGAGTCCTTAGGAGTATATTAATATATATTTTTTTTTTGAATAGTTAAGGATCCTAATGAAAATTGTTGCTCTAATGGTGTACCTCATTATAGAATCCTTAGAGATTAAAAAATAATATAATTGAAAAATGTAAATATAAAATTTTAATTTCATTGAATGATAAATGTAAACATACAATACTTAAACATTTTCATGATTACCAAACTTGTTCCAAATATTTTCAATCAAATCATCTTTCAATTGTTCATGTAAATATGGGTCCCAAACATGTAGTCGTGCGCTGATAACATTTCCGAGATTTGAAGGGATCTCGGTAGAATATGACATATCCACCCGTGAACTCCGACTTGACTCTCCGACTTCGAACTCGGATGTATCATACTGAGTGTATCCATGGCGTTCATCTTCTACTATCATATTATGCAGTATGATACATGTTCGCATAACCATCCCTATTTGTTTCTTGTCCCAGAGTACTGCCGGGTTTTTGACAATAGCAAATCGAGCTTGCAATACTCCAAAAGCACGTTCGACATCTTTTCGGGTTGATTCTTGAACCTTAGCAAATAATTCTGCTTTAGAACCTTGAGGATGTGAGATAGATTGGATAAATGTTGACCATTTTGGATATATCCCGTCTGTTAGGTAGTAGGCCAGATCGTACTGGTGTTCGTTGACCACGTATTGTACTTTTGGAGCCTGACCATGCAAAATGTCATCAAAAACAGGGGACCTCTCGAGGACGTTAATATCGTTTAAGGTACCCGGAGGACCAAAAAAAGCGTGCCATATCCAAAGATCTTGTGAAGCCACGGCCTCCAATACAATTGTCGGCTTTCCTGATCCCCGTGTATACTGTCCTTTCCACATGGTTGGGCAATTTTTCCACTCCCAATGCATACAGTCGATGCTTCCAATCATCCCCGGGAAACCGCGTATCTCTCTAATATCGAGTAGTCGTTGAAGATCCTCTGGAGTAGGTCTTCGTAGATATTCATCTCCAAAAAAACGTATTATGGCTTCTGTGAAATTGCTTATACACGAAAGTGCAGTGCTTTCACCAAGACGGAGATACTCGTCTAGGGCGTCAGCTGCACAACCATAAGCAAGCATACAAATTGCTGCTGTACATTTTTGAATTGTAGATAGACCTAACCTTCCAATGGCATCTTTTCTCTGTTGAAAGAATGGAACATTTGCAGAGAGGCAATCGACAATACGCATGAATACTGACTTGTTCATGCGAAAACGGCGTCGAAATAAATGAGGCGGGTATGTGGGATCTTCACTAAAGTAGTCTTTCCATAGACGGTCGTGGCCCGACTCGCGGTTTCGTTCGTGATATTGACGTCTCCTCGGTCTAGTGCTTTGATTCTCGACAATGTTGTTGTATGAATCGTCAATATATTCATCGACAGCCTCGTCTACTATCGCATATAATCGTCGATCGACTTCGTCTGCCATATTTTGACTACCCTCCCTTCAAAAAAAAAACCAAGAAATAGTTAATATGTTGGTGAGATCATAGTTTTTAAATTTTGTGGTTTATATAAATCTAGTTTTTTTTGAAAAATAGGGTTTTTTAAAAAAAATATGTTGGTGAGATCATAGTTATTAAAATTGACTTGTTTATCTTTTTAAAATTTTGTGGTTTATATAAATCTAGTTTTTTTGAAAAATAGGGTTTTTTAAAAAAAAATATGTTTGGTGAGATCATAGTTATTAAAATTGACTTGTTTATCTTTTTAAAACTTTGTGGTTTATATAAATCTAGTTTTTTTTGAAAAATAGGGTTTTTAAAAAAAAATATGTTTGGTGAGATCATAGTTATTAAAATTGACTTGTTTATCTTTTTAAAATTTTGTGGTTTATATAAATCTAGTTTTTTGAAAATTGACTTGTTTAAATCTACCACAACAACAAGAGTGGCTCGATTCTTGTTGGGTGATGTTTATACGATCTTGTATGTTGTTGGTTTATACAAAACCCAATTTATCTTGTTTATCTTTTAAATTTTGTTGGTTTATACAAAACCCAATTGATCTTGACCACAACAACAAGAGTGGCTCGATTCTTGTTGGGTGATGTTTATACGATCTTGTATGTTGTTGGTTTATACAAAACCCAATTTATCTTGTTGGCTGTCTGTTTTTATCTTCATATCAACAACTAAACCCAATTGTTGCTAAAATTGTTTCCGATTTCTAAACCACAACAACAAGAGTTTTGATTCCCATTCTCAAAACAGATTTTCGATAATTCTATGAGATTAGTTCAATATTCCTATTTCTATTCATAAACACAAGTTCAGTAACAAAAGTTCATAAATACAAGTTCCTAAACGCAAGTTCAGTAACAAAAGTTCATAAATACAAGTTCCTAAACGCCAAGTTACTTCCAAGCACAAACCAACAAGTTCATAAACACAAGTTCTGTTTCCTATTCTCAAACCAACAAGTTCATAAACTGATTATTCCGAGTCCTATTCTCAAACCAACAAGTTCATAAACACAATATTCCTATTCCTATTCTGAAACCACAACAACAGTTTCGATTCATATTCTCAGTAACACAAGTTCATAAACAAGTTCATAAACAAGTCTTATCACAACAACAAGTTCTTGAACTTACCACGGAAAGGAGAGCAAAGGAGAGCAAAGGAGATCAAAAGAGAGCAAAGGAGAGCAAAGGAAATAGCTCTTAGCCGAGACTTCAAATATTATGATAAGTTTTTACTACAACAAGAGCAAAGGAAATAACTCTAAAGCCGAGTCTACA